GAAAAAAGATTCGAACTCAGGTCTTATGATTCCAAATTTTGTTGTCTTTCCACTGTACCACTGTGAGAGGTAGTGTTTTTTCCCCCACTTCCTCCCAGTTGTCAGTAAAGTCCTTTCAACTGTACTGAAGAAGATAAAGATCTTCTACAACCTAGCTCACATACTGACAATATTTATGCTAACAATAACAATACTGATAAGCTTCTGGTGTTTATGTGTAGGGAGCTGGATATACATTTAGTCATACAAAAAGTACCAATTGGTTGCTACACTTAAGCTACCAGAAACAGGTAGAATTGTTTTGTACCTTTTTACAAATTAAGAGAAACCAATTGATCAGACTGAGAAACACAGAAGAGAAAAACTATCAATGAAAGACTAGAGTGCTTGTCCTTAAGACTAAAAGTTATTGTTTTACTTTATTTTTATTTATTATTATTATTATTATTATTATTATTGCTTTTTGGTGAGGCAATCGGAGTTAAGTGACTTGCCCAGGGTCACACAGCTAGTAAGTTTCAAGTGACTGAGGCCATATTCGAACTCAGGTCCTCCTGACTCAAGGCTGGAGCTCTATCTACTGCGCCACCTAGCTGCTCCTAAAAGTTATTGTTTTAGCTACAAGAATGAATTGCATACATTGCTCACAGTAAATGGAGAAGGATCTTCCATCATATTCTCTTGGGTGTTTAGACAATGTCTATTTCTGTGGCATCTGAATGCTCCCATAATTTCATAATAATTTTAATTGACCGTGAAGGAGGAAAGAATAAGCTTCTCATTCTGTGCGTACACAGCACGTTCCTAAACCACAGCTTGGGTGGGTATTGGGCCAGTTTTTGTCCCAGGCACATCAGTCACTAAGGGACATCCAGGGGAACTTGCAAATGCAGCATATTCTGCCAGGGGTGGAGGATGTGAAGTTGTCAAATCTCTTGTTTTTCAAATGTGGGTAGTGATTTCCTTCCAAGACAAATTTAATCAAAAGGCACGGGGCTATGGCGTCTATTGGACTAAACTCTCACTGTTGATGTATGAGAACTGTTAGCAGAGTGTAAACCCTGGGTGAAAGCAAAATATTTGTTAAGTGTCTAACAGGCTGAGAATGCTGAAAGCAGCCCTAGCCCTGGTTTTCATTAGTAACACACTTACGAGGGCAGACATTGAAATATCACTTCCAATGTTGATTCCTGAGAGCTTGAATCTACAATGTATCAATCACAGACAGAAATGAGTCATATTTAAGCCAGCCTTCTCTGTTTCACTGAACCATGGCAATGCAATTTTCTGAAAGAAATGGAAATGTTTACAGAACTGTTAAACACCACCCGCCACTTACAAGTCTGGTTTATTATGTTCCTCACCAGCCCTAAAGGCCACTGAGATATACCATCTTCTATCTAATGAGGCAAATAGGCTTCAGGGCCAGATGGTCAAGTAGGAAACTAAGAGTGTGCTCTAACATCTATCCACAATTGTTGCTGATTTGCAAGGTTTGGTCATATCTCATGCAAACTCCTTTTAGATAGAAATGAATGGATTAAAAGCTAAACTGATTTTTCAACTGCAAATCAGCCAAGCTACAGATGAATAGATGGAGACAAAAAATTGGGCAGTAACTATTAAATTGAGCACCTGTGGGCTGCTTGGGCCTTACAGTGCCCAAGTTATCATCCTAGTTTGGATCCACGGCCCTAGGCTTTAGCTTCTCAGGGGAGGGATAACATAGCAGTGGCAAAAACCAAGGCTCCAGCATTCCTCCTCCACAGACATTAATGAAGAATATTAAATGGATTTGATTGTTTTATCATATGCAAACAGCGCAAGTGGTATGTGAAACTGAAGGTGGTCAATAGAATGATATCAGGAGGGTGATGTCTTAACTTGTAAATGAATTGAACTTAAGTGAGGCAGTGCAGTGCAAAATCATCAGCCTCACTCTCTCCTCCAGTCATCGGAGTACAGTGGCAAGACATAGGTCAAGATGACTGGCAATAGCTCCCTCATTTGTAAAATGATGGGGGTTGGTTTAGTTGACCTCTGAGATCTCTTCCAACTATAGAGCTATGATCTTATGCCTAGGAAGTAAAAATGCATTAAGTGAAGAAGTATCATAAAGTTCTAAGAGACCTCAGAGTCTCTTAGACTCTGACTGGATTAGATAAATCTAATGCAACCTTCTTATTTTACAGATGATCAGAGTCATAGCTTTAGAGCTGGAAGGAACCTTAGAGTTTATTTAATCCAACCTCCTCATTTGATAGATGATGAAACTGAGTCCTAGAGAGACTAAGTGATGTACCCAAGGTGAATAAAGGCTCTAGGCAAAGGTACAAAAATGTACAAAAATCTTTAAACCAGCTTTGCCACTGTGAGAAACTGAGGGGATGCCCATCAATTGGGGATGGACTGAATAACTATGGTATGAGAATGAAATGGAATATGACTGTGGTATAAAAATGATGAAGGGAATGGCAAAGAATCGGAAACTAAGGGTAAGTCCCTCAACCAGAGAATGGATGAACAAGTTATGCCATATGAATGTAACGGAATACAACTGTGTTGTCAAAAATTTTGAAGGGCATGGTTTCAGAGACAATGAGAAGACATATATGAACTGATGCATAGTGAAGAGAGTAGAAGGAGGAGAATAATTTATGCAATAACAACATTTTAAAAGCAAACAACTTTGAAAGACTTAAGAACTCTAATCAAAGCAATGACCAGTCATGATTCCAGAACAATGATGAAACATGCTACCTACCTCCTGAAAGGTAAGAGACTCAGGGTACAGATTGAAACTTATATTTTTCGGACTTGGCAAAGATTGAAATTTATTTTGCTTGACTATCCATATTAGTTATAAGGGTTTTTGTCTTTGTCTTTTTTCCCCCAGTGGAGAACAGGGCTGGGGAGGTGGGAGGGAATAAAAACAGCTCTTGGTACATTAAAAAAGATAAACAAGTAAGCTAAGGCTCTTGGACTGCTTTTAAAAGGCCACTGGGTCATGGTATGAGAGATAAAATCTATTTTTGAGCTTTCTCCAAATATAAGATCCTAGGTCTGAAATATAGACTCAAAGCAGGTATGTTCATGGTAGAAAGTGCTATGAGTATAGATAAGGAAGAACCAAGTAATGGTTCATGAAGGAGAGAGCAAAGGAAATGGCTTTGAAAGATAGGTAGGCTTTCGATAGGTGGACATATGAAGAAAGCATGCCACCCATAGTGTATTGCTGTGAAGGAATGTTGAGATGTCTCTATAAACTTGGTAGAAAGAATTTTCACATCTCTTTATACAATCTCTGTTATAACTTGTTATATTGCCCAAGCTCAAATTGACAGTTATTATTAGACATATTTCCCCTATCTAGTCCCCAACAGAAGCTTGCGGGTTATGATCAATCAACATTATCATAATTAAAAAAAATACGCCTTTGATTCAACTGGGAAAAAAACCAAAGATTCCAGAGTCCAAGCATACAAATCCACTGTCTTCAAAATAATTCAGGTCCAAACATGCTCTTTTCTCCCAAATTATCTAGATAATATGGGGCAAAATTAGTATTTTTGGACTAAACCATCTGTATCAATTCACTATCATTTCAAACTTTCCATCTGTGTGCCACCCCTTTACTTATTCACTTATCCCTTGCTCTGTTATAGGTATAGTTTTTAAACATCTAGTGGAAAAGTAGAAGAATGTAAATGTATTCTCCAGGGGATTTAGAGCTGTTAGATCTGAGTGACATGAGCGGCACCCTGGTGTCATCAAGAGAAATGAAATATTTCTCCCTCTAGCCCCCTTTCTTAGCTACAAGCCTTCTCTTTTTTGAAAACAGCTTGCTTTTCAGAAGATAAAGATAAATTAAAAGAATCAGATTTTTGATATGCCAATGTAAAACAGAGTCTACAAGAACATAAAATTGCCACAGTGGACCAGATTCATTCTTCTCTTTGATAGTAACATCAAAGGCTTTTTTTTTTTTGTTGGAATATACAGAGTTTAGAGCACTGCTCTGAACACCAACTACATTCATGGATGTCCAAACCCTGAATTAATTTAAATTCATCCTGAACTATTATTTTAATTACATCCAACAAACATTAAGTACCAATTGTGTGAAAAGCACTGAGCTAGGCTCTGGAATCATAAGATCATAGCTTTAGACTTTAGACCTTAGAGGTCACTGAACCCTTTCATATTACAAGGGAGGAAACTGAGGCCCATTGAGGTTAAGCAACTTCCCAGAGTTTTTCAAAGGTATAGGGGAGGCAGAAGAGGTATTCTGCTCCCTAGAAACACTGGGAGTGGTATGCTTTCACATAAGAATCTGCCTAGCTTGTTTTGAGGTTGTCTTTTTAGTTCTAGTTGGAGCTCTATATCTTTAAAGGATATTAGTTGGAAGATGTTCATTTTTATTAAAAAAAAAATCCCAAGAGCTACTTGTACGGTTAGGCAGATAGACAAGCCGGCTCTACACTGTGGGTCCAAAAACTTAGATTCTCATCTTAGCTCTGCCAATGACTACCTCTTGTAAGTCACTCTGCCTCAGGTTTTCAATTTTTAATTTTTTTTTGACAATTGGGGTTACTTGCCAAGGGTCACACAGCTAGTAAGTGTCAAGTATTTGATCTGAGGCCGGATTTGAACTCAGGTCCTCCTGACTTCAGGGCCGGTGCTCTATCCACTGTACCACCTTGCTGGTCCTGCCTCAGGTTTTCTATCTGTTAAATAGGCCAAATTTTCTTCTCAGGAAAATAGCTAAATTAGGATTGGCTGTTCCCTCCAGATTCCTCTTATTAGCACCTGGAAAAATCTGCTCACTTTATCCCAGACATCAACTAGGTTTCTTGGTTTTGGTCTCTCTGTTTCTGAGATGTATCTGAATCCCAGCTGAGAGCAAAAAGAAGCCAGGAGACCACATTCTCTACTGTACATCTAATGCAGCATTGGTTCTTAATGCTACCTAGATAGGAGTGTCATTAGACACACAGGGCTTGCCCAGAGGACTGATTACCTTTTCATTCTTTTTCTCCTCTGTTTTGCAGGCTGTGTTGGTTGGGCTGGAAGTCATCAAGCTACCGATGGGCCCACTGCCCATGTCTCCATTCAGGTTGGCTGCACTGACATTGGGAGGTGTGATGGCCGAGGCTGCTGATGTCAAAGGGATGACAGGCCTGGGGCACTGTGCTCCAGAGACGACCTGAATTGAGGATTGGTGGAGGTGCTGTGGAGATACGATGGTGTGTGGCCTGATCCCCGTAGCTGGCAGGCGGGATGGAGAGCTTTGGGTACGTAGAGGTGATACTGTCGCAGTGGGACGGTCTTGAGACTGAGCAGAAGGGTGGGCAGCTGGAAACAATTGGTATTGGAGAAAACAGAAAAGATGAATAATTAGTTTGAGAATTTCAACCCATTGCAACAGTACTGTTTCTTTTTCAAAAATATCAACCAATGAGTAAAAAAACATTTGTCAAGTACTTAGTGTATGCAAGGCACTGTGATAAGTATTGGTGATATAAATAGAAAAACCAGCCAGTACCTGCTTCCAAGAATGGAACTACCATGTCCTTGCTCTCTTCAAAGAACTCCATCACGTATTAACTCCACTCTATCACACGGAGTGAGAAATCGAGGCACAAGAATACTCATCTCATAAAACATTTCTTTAGTAGCATCTGCATAACTAATGAGATGCAGATTCATAGTCAAAGCATTTCTGGGGGTCACGGACCATTGGTCTGGGCCTCTGTATCTCACTGAGAATCAAGAACAGAAGCATAATGGCCAAATCATTAGCTTTCCAATTTTTGCATCCTTCACTTTGGGAACTCCCACTCTTTTGCCCATTCATATCAACTAACCAAGAAATGCTTATAGAGATTCAGGTGCCAAGTACTAGACAGGATACCAATTGTGTCAAATTGTATCCCTGCCCTGCAGGAGAATTGCTAGCATGGCCAAATCTTTCACTTATATTAAGAAGCACTCATCAGGTACTAAGAAAAAAATACAAATAGAACTACATTCGTCTCTTACAAGCCAAATAAATTAAATATCTTATTGGATAGATATTATTTGAAGGCTAAGAAATACCAGTAGGAACTCAAAAAATTTTTCCCTCAATTGCGTAGAATAAGACTTAAGTGCCCTTTGAAAGGATTGGGCATCAAAGCCTCTTTTGAAACTCTGGTCCCTGGACTGAGGATGGGCCAACATAAAGCAGAAGACTTTGGAAAACACTACTGCTAAAGTGTTTATACAAATAAAGTATGGTGAAGACTCTCAGCAAAGAGATAAGATGATTCCACAACAAAACAATAGGCATGATTTAAGACTGAGGGTTATGAAGCACCACTAATAAGCATGGGCGTGGTATTAACCTAGGTAATATTTAACTGTTTCTCCATTATCTCCTCATTTTGCCACCTTCTGTTTCTGTTTACTTCACTAGGCATCAGTTCACGTAAGTCTTTCCAGATTTTCTTGCTTGTCATTTCTTATAGCACAATAGTATTTCATTACAATCATATATCACAGCTTGTTTAGCCATTCCCCAACTGATGGGCATCCCTTTGATTTCCAATTCTTTGCCACCACAAAAAGAGTTGCTAAAATATTTTTGTACCTGTGGGTCCTTTTCCCATTTTTAGGATCTCTTTGGGATATAGAACTAGAAATGGTATTTCTCTGTCAAAGGATATGCACAGTTTTATGGCCCTTTGGGTATAGTTTCAAATTGCTTTCCAGAATGGTTGGATCAATTCATAACTCCACTAACAGTACATTAGTGTTCTAGTTTTCCCATATTCCCATATTTCCCATATATTCCCATTTCCCAACATCCAACATTTTCTCTTTTTGTCAAATTAGTCACTCTGTGAGGTATGAGCTGGTACCTCAGAATTATTTTAATTTGCATTTCTCTGATCAATAGTGATTTAGAGGATTTTTCCTTATGCCTATAGCTTTGATTTCTTTGTCTGAAAACTTCCTGTTCATATCCTTTGATCATTTATCAATTGGGGAATGACTTGTATTTTCATAAATTTGCCTCAGTTCTCTATATATTTGAGAAATGAGGCCATTATCAAAGATACTTGTTGCAAATAAAAATCCTAAATTCTTCCCTTATCCATAAATCTGATGGATAAACTATTCTATGCTCTCTTAATTTGCTTACAGTATCACCCTTTATGTGTAAACCATGTACCCATTTTGACCTTATCTTGGTATGTGGTGTGATATGCTGATCTATACCTAGTTTCTGCCATACTGTTTTCCAGTTTTCCCAGCAGTTTTTGTCAAATAGTGAGTTCTTGTCCCAAAAGCTTGAATCTTTGGGTTTAATCATGTCCTAGATTATTAGAGTCATTTACTACAATGTAATTTGTACCTAATCTATTGCGCTGATCCACCACTCTATTTCTTAGCCCGTACCCGATTGTTTTGATAATTATCACTTTATAATACAGTTTGAGATCTGGTACAGCTAGACTACCTTCTTTCACATTTTTTTCCATTGATTCCCTTGATATCTTTGAGCTTCTGTTCTTCCAGATGAATTTTATTATTATTTTTCCTAGCTCTATAAAATAGTTTTTAATTGCTTGATTAGTAATCAAATAGATAAATAAATAGAATTATAAATTTTAGATTATATCAAATCACATCATATTATAAATTATAAATTCTATAAATCTGAATAAATAGATTAATTTAAGTAGAATTGTCATTTTTATTATATTGCCTTGGCCTACCCACGAGCAATTAATATTTTTCCGATTGTTTGGATCTAACTTTATTCATGTGAAAAGTGTTTTATAGTTGTGTTCATATTATCCCTGGGTTTATCTTGACAGGTAGACTCCCAAGTATTTTACATTGTATACAGTTATTTTAAATGGAATTTCTCTTTCTATCTCTTGCTGCTGGATTTCGTTGGTAAAATATAGAAATGCTGATTATTTATGTGGGTTTATTTTGTATCTTATAACTTTGCTAAAGTTGGTAATAATTTCAAGTAGGTTTTTAGTTAATTTTCCAGGATTTTCTAAGTATAGCATCATATCATCTGCAAAGAGTGATAGTTTTGTTTCTTCATTGCCTATTCTAACTCCTTTAATTTCTTTTTCTTCTCATTGCTATAGCTAACATTTCTAGTACAATATTAAATAATAGAGGTGATAATAAGCATCCTTCCTTCATCCCTGATTGTATTGGGAAGGATTCTAGCTTATTCCTCATTATAGATAATGCTTACTGTTGGTTTTAGACAAATATTACTTATCATTTTAAGGTAAGCTCCGTTTATTTCTATGCGCTCTAATATTTTCAATAGGAATGGGCGCTGTATTTATTTTGTCGAAGACTTTTTTTGCATCTATTGAGATTATCATGTGATTTCTGTTGGTTTTGTTGCTGATATGGTCAATTATGCTGATAGTTATCCTAACATTGAACCAGCCGTGCATTCCTGGTATAAATCTCACCTGGTCACAGTATTGCTGTAATCTCTTAGCTAGTATTTTATTTAAAATTTCTGCATCAATATTCATTGGGGGAAATTGGTCTATAATTTTCTTTCTCTGTTTTGGCTTGCTGGTGGATTGCCCCAGGCTTGGAGCCTTGCTGCAGGCTCTCTGTTGTGAGACTGGCTGCTGCTGTTGCTGCTACTCTTGGACCTAGCTCCTCTTCCACTTGAATGAGACAGACTTTTTCTGGTAGGCTGCTTCCTTACTTCTAGATCAATTCTGAGGCAGTTTTCTAGTTGTTTGGAGGGGAATTTGGGGGAGGGGGCTTTTGAGGGTTCCTTCTTCACTGCACCATCTTGGCACTGGAAATCCCCAAAGAATGAATTTGAAGAAAATGATAATAATAACTGACACTGATATAGCTGTTTTAAGATTTGTAAAGTGTTTTATATTTACTATCTAATTTCAATAACCCTTTGAGAGTAGGTATACGTATTGTTATTACTACTTAACAGATGAGAAAACTGAATTTAAAGAGATCAAATGACTTGGCTAAGTTTTTACAGCTAGATACGGTTGGTGGAGGGAGTTACAGAATCATAGAATTCCAAATTTAGAGTTAGAAAGGAGCTCATTTAGTTCAACCCCCTTATCTTACAAATGAGGAAACAGAGGTCCAGTTAGAAGTGACTTGTGTAAGGTCATACAGGTAGGAAGTGGCAGAGGAAGTACCTGAATCCAGTCCTCCGACTCCACTCTACCATATTGCTATGCCTATATCCCATTATCTTGCATTGTCAAAAAATTACAAAAGGAGAAAGTCCAATCAAAACAACTATGTAGACACTGACTACAGCTGTGCAAATGAAAACAACAATGAATAGCAACATAACCTGAATTAAATCCACCATTGTTACCTCACATACAGAGATGGAAATGTCAAACCACTCCACTATCTTGACCAAGAAAACCCCAAATGGGCTCATAAAGAGTTGGACATGATTGAAAACAACTGAGCAACAGAGATCCTTGCTAAAGGTAAAGCACACAGTTCTCCTGTCTTTTAACAAATGCTAAATAACAAGAATATATGTACAACTGTTTGCAATCACCTTTTAAAAATTATGCTATTTGGGAGGATTATGTGTTGTTTGTTTTCGCAAAACAAAATTTCCATTGCTTTCCATTGAGTATTTGATTGCTGTGAAGGGACTCATGGTGACAGCAGGGTCCCTTTATCCTGTTGTGCTTAATGTGTCACACTGGACCTCCTTTTTCCTTATCACCTACCTCACATCAAAAGGGTTCCAGTAATTCCTGTTCCTTAAATCAAATGAAAAAGAAAGGCAGCTTTATACTGTTAGGCCTACACTAAACCTGGCTCTCTAAGGGTCTCCGTGTTCTGAGCTATAAACCAGAGATAACAGAGATGCCAGTCCACCTACCTGATGTTCAATGGGATGCTCCTTAAAGATATTAGGGATCCCAAATAATCAAAAGTTATAATAATCTCCTATTTGAATTGATCAAATCCACTCTAGTGCCCTGCCAAAAGTTAATCCCTTTACTGTACAAGACAGGGAAAATTTCAGAGAATCTTCTTACTCAACCCGAGTAAACAAAAAGGGGAAAGAGAATGAACCCCATGATAATAACTGTTTTAACCTGACTCCAGTTTGACACAAGTGTCAACCCAGGTTGTAACAACAGATGTTATTTCATATTAAGTACTCAATCTAACATTATGCAATTTAAACTTCAGCATTATTGCATTGTTGTGTCAGAGGAAAAATTACATACCACACTGTAATTATTTTGTACCACCAGAATTTGTGGCATTCATGGTTTCAACAACATGAAAAAAAACACACAATAAAA